CCTCAGTATTGTGAATCATCCTAAAGCATAATTAGATATTATGGCTACTTCTTGTTCAATACTTGTCAATATTGAATTAGTTATCCCAGTAACCCCCGAATAATAATAAAATAAAAATAAAAACAGGAAAAAAAAAATCAATTACAAGTACAGATTGTTTATAGGTTTATAAAATATATTTACATTACTAAAATAGTTTGCTTTCATACTGTCTTTGCACCAATTCATCTGTTCTTCAATTATTTTCAATAAAAAAATTTAAAAAAGATTTTGTCTCCAACATTTCTACTTTAAAATATGGGCTTTAATAAAAATGTAGTAGCCGCTATTTTTTCTTTATTTAAGAATCTTCATTTTAAATCCATCACAACTTAATTAAAACAAGCCAGGTGGTTAATGTATAACCAAGATTTGTTGCGCTTAAATCTTTACCTTTTATTTCATAAGTTACGGTTTTCAGCGTGTCAAGCCGCCCAACTTGGTTTAAACCTTACTGTGAACATTTATTAAACACTTATCTCTTTTTTGAGCTAAACTAAACGTTCACCCCACTGTGAACGCATTTTGGACCAATGCGACAAAGCAGAAAGGCTGGCTTTACTGTATGTTTTATGCCTCGGTTACCATTTAGCCGTTAGCCTGTGTGGCTTTTACCGTTAAACAGAGGCAGAAGGCAGCCTGGCATATTCCCTCTTCAGTCATGCCACGTCTTACCTGACTGCTGATGGCCAGCTCTTCTTATCTCCCTCTTAAATACAATGGATGGAAGCGTCTCGAAAAAAGGATGCTCACAACGGATGTCAACGGTCCTTTCCAGTCTGCCGCGAAATATTTTCTTTTTTTCCACAATCCAGGAAAGCTAGCCTAGCTGAGTAGACGCTGCGCCCTGTTGGAAAAGCATTTCTGCATCAGACCGTATCAGAGCTCAGCAGCGAGGCTAGGCTAACTAACTGTTATGGCTTCAGAGCAGTTTGGAACCATCTTGCCTCCCAACTAATCGTCTCTGATTGGCTGCCGAGAAACAGGCTGTGTTTTCATTGGACACGGATACTGTCAATCAAACATATTGCAGCTGTTGATGTTCTACATTCCCATAGAACGCCGTCTTTCTAGGATTTAATTTTTAATTTAATTTAATACCCCGTCTAAAATATTTTAACGTTAAAAGCTCATAGAAACCCTTTAAATTAGTATCTGCTTCATTTAACCTTGTTAATTTTAGTCAACCATTTATTCAAACGAAAAGTGTTAAACGCATCTGGCTAGAACGATTATGTCAACTGTTGTATTTATATTATATTTGCCAGCTTCCATAGAAATAATCGAAAGTCATACCACCCTAAAATAAAACAACAAGAAAATAAAAAGTATAGTTCAATAAAAACACAATGACAAAATTTTAAAATAAGGATGTACTCATAATAGAAAGAGGAATATATTTAGTTGTATACAGATATGAATAGTTTTGTTGGCACCACTTTTAAAGATGTGTTAAAACCTTTATAATAAAGCAATGTCCTACAGCATCACAAGAGTTTAACTCTGAAAGAGAAATATTTAAAATGACAAAGCTTGGCTAAATTATTTAAAGCTATTTAACTAAAAATACCAATGTTTCCATTACAGATAATCCTAACAATTCCATTTAAAGAAATGAGTCATGAAAAACATTTTTAAATTATATTTTATCTCTTCAAGTTGATTAGAGTGCCTAACAGCCTCTACATGGAAATCTCTGATTTTCTGTTTCACTGGGGTAATATTATGACATAAGAAAAGTGGCTGTTTAGACAAGGTGTCGTATAAATCTTACCACCACATACAGTGAAGGTAAGAGAGGTACAAAACAAGTATCCTCTGTCAAGTATGCTGCATGATCAGTGATGCTGCGGGCCCATATCTCTTTTTAAGACACAGGGAACCTTCTAAACAATTAGGGCAAGAGTGATTTACACAATTCTATGATAAATGAATAGAAAAACTGACCCACAGACCCACATTATGGTCCTGGTCATATCAGTGTGCAGTGCTACAGAAAACCTGCAGAAATTTGTACCTTTCAGTAAAAACAAAACATGCAAGCAAATGTAATGATCTCATTTCTGTAGAAAAAAAACATAAAAATTTGTTCAGTTAGTGCCTGGTGCAGCTAATAAACGTGCCTGTGGTTGAAAGAGTTGCAGAGTTATTTGGAAGGTTGTGCAGCTCGCTGCAGGATGCAATCTGTTTCCTGCTCTAACAGATGGCTCTCCTCTACATGTCTTCTTCGTTCTGCAACCAAAAGCCCGTTTCAAAAAACAAACCAACGCAAACAGGAATTTGAAGCAGACTTCTCTCATTTTTGTTGCCCTTATTAAACTATATGTAAAGGCAGAATATGTCACAAAAATCAGGTAAATGAAGATTGTTTGTGGTTTTGATTCTAAAAGAATGGGTTTGGTCTCTGTAATAAAAAGTGTCTCAGTTTTAACAGTCACCCTTGTAATATAGAGTTCATACACCAGCAACAAGTGTATTATATATTTATATATATTATATATTATATATGCGTCTGCCAAACAAATCAAAGGAGGAAATACAATCTAATCGTTCTATCTTTTGTGATGCAAACACAGGACAAGTCCTACTAACTTTATTATCTAGGAGTAACAGTAACTGGCTTCATACTTCAGCATAGATGGTCTTATGGGAGAGTCAGAGTTGAATTTGTGAGGCAAACAAAACCCAAAGCCTTTATAGAGAATTTCAGTGGTTTTATTATAGCATTGTTTATAACCCTGTTCAAAAGAGAAAAAAAAAAAAGTCAAAACAAAAAAATACTACATAATCTGTACTTGTATATATAACTGATCTATAAAAAAACATATAATGTATCTAGGATTGTCTGGCCAAGTAGTGGGGTTGGTCACTGCAGCCCTTGTGGCACCACAGACTTTAGCTTTCTTCCTCCATTCCTGGCAGACAGAGACATGAAGTAGGTCATGAATGCCACCTGCTGGGCTGTTGATGCAACATGTCAGTTTGGTATCAATAATAAGTCCTCTTTCCTGCACTTTTTCATAACCAATGTCTCCATTTCATTCCTCAGGAGTTCCTGTTTCCCCTTTAGGCACCATTTAAGAGGCTGTTTATCTTTGCAAAAAGAACCAAAAAAGGGGGAAATGTCCCCACTAAGTTGATGACTCAACCGATACAGAAAAAGAAAAAGCAGATGGACTGGTGTTTGTAAAGGGGACTTTCATTCAATTCAGTGCTCTTGCCACCGGGCATTAGTTTGACGTACATCTGAGAGTAAACAGAAGCCACACTCAGTGAGGAAATCACCCTTGTTAAATATAAACCAGCTGATAGGATTACAGTTGAAGCGCTTGCAGAAATGCTGCTCAAACGATTTTGCAGTTTGTGAAGTTGAGCTATAACTTTCTAGTTTTCAGTTTTCCACATTTTCTTTATTGTAATTCAGAAAAAAAGTTTGAGTTAGGTTTGTATGAAAGTATGCAAAAACATTTTATAATTCTTCTTTTTTTTTCCAAAAAAAAAAAAAAGGTCTCTTTAGATACTGGATTTAAATTGAACCTATGGTTTAAAATAATGAAACTGCCTTTTTACACAAACCTAATCAAATTGTCACAGATTTTTTTTTTTAACAAACCATTATTAAATGTAGGGTTAGAATTTCAATAAAACTAAACCAAACATGTCAAAGCAAAACTTTTAAAATTGCTATTTTCTAAACATGTGAAATACAAGCCAACCTCAGAATTCCCTTGTATGGAAAGTTCTGCACTTAGATGCTCTAAACTGTATGGAAATTCCAAGAAAAATAAAGGAATGTTGAAATGTATAGATTTTTTAACTGGAAAATTTAAATGAAAATCTTCACATTCTTTATTTGTTAGACAGTTTTTTTTTATTTGAAGTATGCATGGATAGGTATGAGATTTAAAAAACAATGCTAACCAAAAGTACCACGGTTTGAAGTTATCATTGCGTTTATACAGAAATTTGAAAAAACTTTATGAATTGGTCTCATTTTATATAACTCTTTTAAGAAAAAATCCTACCCACTGAAGAAAAACAAACATTCTGTTGACTTTAAAATAACAATAATAATAAAATAATTTACAATAATAAATTTATTTGGGGGTATTCTTACATCCTCTTAATAAGATTTTGAAAAAAAAAATGTCCCCTTAAATGTCCTCATCCCTTTTAGCCAGGCAGACTGCCCTCTGGTGCTCAGCAGACATGTAGCTCTTTGCTTCCTAACTCTACGTGCTGGAGGTTCTGAGTTCAAGCCCCACTTCCACAGCCTGCACTCTGGGTCCCTGAGCAAGGCCCTTAACCCCACACTGCTTCCTGGGTGCCGCACAGTGGCACCCCGCTGCTCCCCTAGGGGACGGGTCAAATGCAGATGTGACCTTTCACCAGCCAGCTGACTAGCAGTGCAAAGAAACAGAAGAGCTAGAGAAGAGTTATGAATCCTTTAGTCTATTTTGTGTACACCTGGAAAACAAAAAATCTAATTCTTACACATTGTTTTGGTATTTCGGGACCGGTACTTTAAATTGTATAAAAGATTTTAATTCTTTTTAAACCAATTTTTTTAAACCATGGTACATCTTGACACCGTTAACCATGCCTAAATAATTGTTTTTGCCTCGAACAACAAGTCAGTTTTTTAATTTTTTTTATTCCTAGTTACAGTATGACTTGTACTGGACATTTACACAGTTTTGGCAGTGTGACGACAGAAGATTATATCAATACCTTGTTGATGCCATGATTCTCTGGTGCCTTTTTTGCTGACATTTTAGCCTGTGACACGATTCCACATCAAAGCATAGCTATACAAGGGGAAAATGGTCACGATATTACAATTGTCTTTTATTTCACACGTAAATATTAAGACTTTAGTTACACAAACTGGCACTCAGTTCACAGCACAACAATACAAAATCATCAGATGAAGATCCAGACATTCTTTTGATTGCACGACCAAGCAACACTGTAAACGAATAGATTGACAGATATGGATTTATTTGATAGGCGAGTCTAAGATCTCTTGGTAATCCTGTCGAATGGCCCTGCTCACTCTGTACAGCTTTACCCCGGTCAGAGTGAACACGCTGACCATGATGACAAGGCCCCCAATCACATCGTATGCAGAGGGGATCATCCTCAGCACGATAAGCTGCAGAAACATTGAAACCACGATCTCTAGGTGCTGCACCGTGCTAACTAAGGCTGGATGAAACTTGTTAAGAGCATAGTAGACTCCAAGGAATGCCACTGTGGAGCAGATACAGATTCCAATTAAATATCCCCAGGTCTCTCCATCCAGGGGAATGATAGGCTCTTGCATGATGAACATGGTGGAGGCCCCCCATACAGTGCCCGTCCAGCCGAAGGTAAAAAGTGCAGTCCACATGCTGACGCGCTCCTTGATGGCTCTGTAGACAATCATGGAGAGGGCGGCGGTCAAGCCTGCCATCACTGTCATAGTATAGCCAAAGGCTTCCTTCCAAAACCCCAACCTGGACTTCTCTTCGTCTGCTACATTCGGCACCATAACCAGGCAGAGGCCAAACACACTTCCTACCACCGTGACCACATCTGTGTAGCTCAGCCTCTCATCCAGCAGCAGGAAAGCCAGTATGGCACTGAAGACTGTGGTGGAGGCTCGCCACATGATGGTACCATTGCTGGGAGGTACTATGGCAAAAGACGTGTAGGCGCAAGTGATTGAAATGACGTTGCAGACACCATAGAAGAAGAGACGAAGCCGATAGCCCTTTGGGCCAAAGGGCGCCTCGTGGTAATAGAGGACCACCAGAATTGACAGCACTTGGATCACAGAACGGATGAAGAGCAGCTCGAGGGAGGGAACCTTAGAACGATCTGCTGCCAAGCGAGTAATTAAAGCCACACATCCATGAGCTGCTGCTGCACCAAACAAGGCCATCCAGGTCACTTTGGAGGCCAAAACATTAGCCTCGCCAAAGCTGGCCAGCTGACCCTCAACCCCCTTGTCTCTTTGAACATTTGGCTGCTTAGGTTGAGTCTCCATGGTACCAAAGAAAGTCCTGCTGCCTTTGGCATCTGAAACCAATCTCTTTCCGACATTTGCCTCTGCAAAGGTACCAAAATCCTCAAAAGAGGGTGCATCATCGTACCCTTCGTCACCAGGCTGGGGGAAGTGGGTGGCGTACTTTACTGTCACGGTGTTGGGGTGAATTTTGACCCGCTTTTTTGATCCATACTGGAGGGAGGGTGAAGCTGCATCCATGATGTGTGAGGTATTATACAGGGTTGTCTGGAAATAATGAAATAAAAAGTCAAATCTTAAATGAAAACATACTTGGCTCATTCCAAACAATGTTCTTATGTAACACCTGCATACCTAAAGTACATTCGACAGTGATTTACTTGAGTAGCTAAATAAAAGTAGTGCATCATTGGGAATACAGGGACAATTATACACTGTTTTGAATGTTTTTTTTTTTTATTAATAAAGACCTGAAAGATGTGACATGTATGTTAATTTAGCCATCTGGGGTTAAGACTTCATGCAACCACTTTCTAGTATAATTAGAGCCTCATCTGTTTTCTGGGTTCTTCTCTGTTAGATTTTTATATGTAGACACCTAAAGCTGAGCCCATTATTCTTTGCAACATGTTGTCTTGGGAAAAATCTAGGGCTGAACGATTTTGTGAAAAATCAAAAATTGAGATTTTTAACTAATATTGCAATTGCGATTTTAATTTGATTTTTGTTTAAATGAAATACAAGATTGTTGATATTTAATTCCGGGGTTTTATTATTTTCATGACCTTAAAACCTTTATCTAGCCTGGGTGCCATTCCGAACTTAGTCCCGCCCACAAAGTTTGAGGTCGGGAAGTTCGGTCTGGCTCTGCTCCATAGTAGCGCGAGTATGATCGCCCACCCTCTGGCGATCCAATCAAATTGTCAGGGCGGGCTTTATACGATGATGGACAGATGATCAACAGTAACGTAATCAACCACGTGACCAAAGCGCGCTTGGGTGACAACAATAATGGCTGCCGCTGGAGAGTTTAGGTGAGTAGATTCTGCTATTAGGTCTGTTCTAGAAGATATCGACAGCAAATTAATTTTAAAAGAGGAACAGAGAAACGCGATCAAGTCTAATCTTCTTATTATAGGCGTGCAACTGCACGCTTTGATTTTTGTGGACAACAACTATGCCTCGCTTAACATACGTCACGCACTCCGTTGCTCTTATTGGTTGTAGGTCTATCCAATTGAGTGCAGAGGCATTTTTTTTCCTGGTTCGTTCGAAACACGCCCCATAATCACAGCTCTATGGAGCAGTATCAGACTCATATTCTGACTAGAATTGAGTCGGACTACGTCAGGCTAGGCTTTATCCCCGTTTCATGCGTTTTAAAGACTAGAACAGGCTTTCTCCCCAGGGTTGCCCTGAGTTTACACATCTTTTCATCAGCTCTGATCCAGCCTTTCTGCCCATGTGAAAGAAACGTATTCTTACAGCATAATGCTGCCGCCACAATTTCTGAACTAAAGAGCACCTTCTTCCATTTTTAATGGAACCGGCTCACCTGAACTATGGCTATTCCATAGTTAATATGGGCCTCCTGAGTGGCAGCCATAGCTTGGAAGATTTGAATTATGTCACAGATATCCAAACCTCTGGAAATTGTTTTCTAAACTAAACCTGTCAGATATATTCTCATCTCTTCATGATGCTGTTTGTTCACTGCTGTTCTTAATCAAACAGAGAACAGCTGGATCTATACTACGGTGATGCACATAAACTATTTACATATCCAATGAGTTATGAAGGCAAATGGTTACAATGGATTTAATTTACAGTTAACAACGTAACTCCAAAATCGTATTATTCGTTGATTTCGTTTCAATTGAGAACCATGTAGGCTATAGTTTCCTTTCCAGTTTATATTAATGAGCCACTTTGTGTTTGTCTATCACATACAAATTTAATAAGATAGACATTTGCACTCATTTAATCCAAACAGCAAACACTCTGAGGCTGATGTAGTCTGATGGGGATGATATTACATAACAAGGAAACCAATGAGGGGGTTGATGGATGAATGTGGGCCACGTATGAGAAGAATGGAGCAACAAGCCAGAGTTAATGCCAGACTACTGTATACAACAGATGACAATCCTCAAAATATAGAACAGAAATTTTGTTGGATTTTTCAATCAATTATTCAAAAACATTTTTAGACATAGACGTATTAACCCCCAAACGCACACACGTTATACCCTATGCAAAATACATTTGCAGTCACTACAGCCCTAATTTTAGAACCACGTTAAACATGAATTCAATCCACAAGGGGGCAGAAATGACCTCCTTATTTCCTTTTCATCGTCATAGCCTATAGTTGCTCCTCTTTTATTTATTTATCTTTTTTTTTTCTTTTCTATTTTATTTAAATACATTATAATAAAACACAGAAATAACGTTCTATAAAAATACAGAAATAAAAAGGCTTGATGCAAATGTCACGCATTTTTAAATTGCCCCTTTAATTAGGCTAAATAAATAATTTTTCTCTTACAAATTGCAGGAGGAAAATTGCGGCAACCGTTTATCTAGAATTATCATTACTAATCAAACTGAATTATTGTTTTAATTGCAGCGTATCTTTAATCATATTTATGTCAGACCTTCTTCTGCACGATATTTCTATCGAAACAGTGTTTTTTTTTTTCATCAAATGAATGAACGTTTTTAAAACATCTTACCTTGAGCGTGTTTTATTTGTATGAATTCCTAATGATGCATGGGGGTGTGTGTCATAAAAGCAGATTTGGTCGGAGTTCCTCTTCCTTGCATCTGATCATCTGCAGCTCCAGTTTCCCCATGTTCCCTCCCCCCTGAAGCGGAGCTTCTCTTAAAGACGTCTAAAAGCCTTTCCGGGTGTTTTTTTCCCTTCAAGCTGTTTCTACAACTCTGCTCTGATTTCTGCTACCGACGAATCTGAAGCTGCTGTTGCTGCTGAGGTGATGATGAGAGCAATGATGATGATGGTGATGATGATGATGATGATGGTGGTGGCAGGGGAGGTGGTGGAGGAAGAAACTGTTACAGCCATACCCCCCACATCAGGGGCGGAGCTAGATGGGGGGCCAGGGGTGGCCATGCCCCTCCCTGTGGCCCCCCCTACCATTTTTTCCTCTCTAATACAGATGGTGCAATGGCGTAACTATCGGTAGGCAGAGACTGCAGTTGCTTAGGGCCCCCCGACCACTTAGGGGCCTT